ACTTCTTTTTTATTATATGAAATATTTGGACTAAATAGTTTATTTTTGTGATTATACTAATATTATAAAAAAATTATAATTACTGCTTCGGCTGCATATGGGAATAATAAAAAACGCTTAGTATCAGTTGAAGAAATAACGCAACAGCCAAGATGATACACTAGGAACCTGGAGATATCTGAGGTCTCGAGTTCGCGTCCGACTAGTACTGAGTAAATTTTCAGATGTAAAAATAGTGAGAAATCAAATAAAAGAGCTACATTTATTTAAGATCAATATTAATGTGCTATTTTAACAATATTCCATGTATATACTTTTAGTATTCATCAATACTAAGTATTACCTAAAAAAATATTGGTCAATTTAATATTAACCAATACTAAATATTGCACTATTATAACTAAATATTGTACCAAATAGTATTGTATTCAATACTATTTTTCAGTATTCATGAATACCTAGTATTCATCAATATTAAGTATTGCCCAATTTAGTATTAACCAGTACTAAATATTGCGCGCTCAATAGTTTTTTTCCGTAAGAGTTTTTTCAGTAATTACCAGTAATATTTTTCTGTAAGGGAAATTGGAGTTCAATTTTGTAAAATTTTCCAATAATTTCTTAAGTATATATCATCAATATTTCAGTAATTTTGCACTAACTCCTTGACTGTGTATACGCACATGAAAAAGTCGTACCACCAGTGTGAATGACGTGTATACACATCGAAGAAAAAAAAATAGTAAAACTATTGTTCTACAAGTGAATATCCATATGTTTTTGATATCGCTAAATCTGAATTTAATATCAAAACTTCGAAAATGGCGGATCCAACATGGCGAGTCAAAATTTTGAAAATAATTGGATTTTCATGAAAGTGGGTATCTATATGTTTTATGGGGTTGTTGAATTCGAATTTGATATCAAAATTTCAAAATTCCAAACAGTGAAATAAAAAATTTTTAAGTAAAAAAAATATTTAAATAATACCGCTCTCTACCGAACCCGGTGTAACGAAACGAGGACGTAGCGATTTTGACTCCATTTTTATATATTTTTTGTTTTTATAATTTATAATTTTTTTGTTTGTTTTTGTTTGATTTTTGTTATTTTTTTTGTTCAAACAAAATGTCTGAACACACCCAATTTCATGAAAATCCGATTATTTTCAAAATTTAGATCCGCCATTTTGGATTTTGAAATTTTGATATCAAATTTGGATTCAGTGCTTCTAAAAAC